ATGGTGTCCCGGTCATGTTTTGATGGTGTCCCGGTCATGTTGTGATGATGTCCCGGTCATGTTTTGATGGTGTCCCGGTCATGTGACGGTGTCCCGGTCATGTTGTGATAGTGTCCCGGTCATGTTGTGATGGTGTCCCGGTCATGTTGTGATGGTGTCCCGGTCATGTTTTGATGGTGTCCCGATCCTGTTTTGATTGTAACCCAGTCATGTTGTGATGGTGTCCCGGTCCTGTTTTGATGGTGTCCCGGTGTGATGGTGTCCCGGTCATGTTTTGATGGTGTCCCGGTCATGTGATGGTGTCCCGGTCATGTTGTGATGGTGTCCCGGTCATGTTTTGATGGTGTCCCGGTCATGTTGTGACGGTGTCTCGGTCATGTTTTGATGGTGCCCTGGCCATTTTGTAATGGTGTCCCGGTTATGTGATGATGGTGTCCAAGGAAGATATGGTCGATGTGGTGAAAACAGCAGCTGTTTCCAGATTTTTCTTTTTGTCCCGGTTTGTATCTTGCTATTGGGGTCTCCAGCTGGGCTAATTTTGTTTTATTTTTTGATTGCTCCCTCAGGGGGGTAAAGGCATATAGACCCGCCTTTTGACCAGGCACATGACTCAGGAGTTGGCTATCCCAGCTGACTATGTCACTAGAACCGTAAGTCCTATGTCACTAGACCCCAGTATATATATATATCAATGCAGCTGATGGAACGCAGCTTGCTCAGGTTTTGCAATGTGCAAGCAAAATCCAGAGTACCACATTCTTTGTTGGTCTTGCGCAAACATCACATTTAAGGGCCATTATATATGTAAAAAAACATCTGTGCATGATTCCACATTTATGACGATCCGATCAACACAATTGATGAGCCCAACTTCTGTCAAACCATGTCCACATATTCATGTCCACTTCAATGGCTGGCGATCATGTTATGCACCTGTGAGCTGTGACCATCCTCAGACCGTGGCCAGGGCGATGTCGGACAATGAGAGAACTGCCTCAGCAGTAGTCCGATACCGGGCTCTGGGCCTTGGGCCTTGATGAAGGCGTTCTAATCTGAGGTTTCAAATCAACTTTCAAGCTTCCAGTTTGTAGCTTCGACCTTGAACCCAGAACAAGGATGAACAAGGAGCAGTTCCCCTCAACACAGGTGGCCCTTCCTTGACGGCAACAGCTGCAAGTCTTGCGATGTTTTCGAGCTCCCTGGCTCGACAATTCCAAAGTTGTCGCAAAAGACCTACATCGTGTGCAACTCTGATGGGCATCGGAGTGCTTGCATTCAATCGGGGGATCCAAGGTCTGGCATGACACTGCATCATACTGCATCCGAATCCAGGCTTGACAACATCCTTGAGCTTCTGAACGTTCTATTTACCTGGCGAGTGTTAAAACACTTAAACTCAGAAGTAGCTTTGACATTGGCAGCCATCCTTTGCTTTGGCCACTTGACATGTGTTTGGCACAGGCACCCGTGTTTTGCAGTGCGCACCTTGAAGCGGCTGTTGTAGAAGTTGCAACAGGGCGTACCAGAACCAAAGCCTTGGCCCAAGCTTCCGATGCTCTCCACAGTGGCTTCCTGGCGAAAGGATGTCTTTCCATCTTTTTGAGCAGGTTAAAAATGGTATAAAATGTTTCATGGGCTTTCATCTGAAATCAACACCAAGGTGGATGCCCACTGATTTCTTGTTGAATCATCTTCAAATCTACCCCAACCGAGGGATCTTGGGATTCGGACCGCAAGATCCGAAAGTGGATTCGGATCAGGTTGGGGACTTCTCCTGCCTTTCACAAACTGACCAAAGAAAGCGCACCTCTGGGATAGCGTCCTGGTACAGGGCCTCAATCCAAAGACGGAACATCGGAAGACAACAGTCCACTCAGCGGAGGGCACTAGATATCGGCAGACCGAGAGCACCATGTAGTACGAGCCCGTCTCAAAACAAGGGCCTCGAACAAATGCACCCTGACTGAAACTATCGGGGGAACGGTGGAGGATAACGATGGATAACCTAGATATAGTCTGACTAAGGCCGATCGGAGACTCGCAGCGATGTTCATCTGTCACCTTCTTGAGATTGGGATGATTCAGTGATATATTTCAGACTCACCCAATCTTCAAAGCTGAGGTCTCGGGGACAATGATTGACTGCCCGGAAGAAAATACTTTCATGGAAAAGCAATGCCAAAGTAGCTTCTATGTACATGGAGCAATCCAATTTTGAACAGTTTCCACGAAACCCTGCAAAGCTCCTACGGCCAAGAAGTGCTCATGAGCAAACCAAGGCTAGGTCAGCTTGTGCGTAGTTGCAGCATCGGAAAGCTCCATCAAAAATCTTGAGGCCATTCCTCGGTGCAATGGATTCAGCCTATCTCGATACCGCCGATATGGCCATGTTCCGTCAAAGGCTTGACATCTGCCGCATCTGAGTGCTACACGCGTTGCTATCGCGGCCCGACGTCACTGGCACCACGAAACTCAGTTTTCGGCTGAATTGAATGGCAGGTCGAGACTCAATAAGTGTCCTTTGAGGGGTATGGCATATTCTCGTTCCCTGCTTAATCTGGATCAGCAAATCAACAACAAACAAAAAGATTGACCTATATACATATATATATATACTATTATAAACTAATTTAACACTGCATGATACCTGGCCTGACGGGGGTTGGACTGTCCGCACAATTTTCTCATGATTTCTCGTGTCTAGGCTGTAAACGGGCTTTGTCTGGATTCTGGCTTTGGCTCCTTCTCTCGGATTTCCAGATTCCTTCTTCACTTCGCACTGCTTCGCAACTCCTTCACCTTGTCTGTCGGACTGAGATGCCCCTCTTATTGACGTAGGCAATGCCCTGGTCAGTCTGCGTGGCGATCTGCAGGTGCGAACGCCACGGTGCACAGCTCCAGTTACGCCTACTTGACAGTCTGTCCAGGAGTGTAACAAACGCAATCTCATGTCCAGTGAGAATGACTTTGAGTACAGTATATCAGTATATAAGTACTGCCAGTACTGCTATATATATAATATACATGATTGTCCCTATTCATACATATGGCTATGGCATGCTATGGGTCAACAAACATCAGAAACCAATCCTTTTACCAGCGGGTTTGGATGGCAGTTTGACCCGACATCTTTGAGTACACATTTTCGCCTGGAGCCGACAGTCATTGCCATGGTGACAAGTCCTGCCACATTGCATTTCAGGTGATTCACTTGCAACACAGTGTGTTACACACGGTTCAATACGAAAGGCCAGCAGATTTGATCACTCTGCCTACGCCGAAAACTCCTGTCCTTTGGTGTAACTCCGGCCTGTCCGTTTCTGTGGTGTAACACCTTTTCCAAGATGATCCAAGCTGATTGTTGTTGGCTGGTCTTCCATGTAATCCGAGCCTTTCTGTCGACAAACTTGCACACACGAACGCTCAAGATGGCTTTGCTGGGTACATGTTGAGCTCTTTGGTGGACCTACGGACCTGGTTGACCTTCGATCTTCGCACTTTGAACACCCTGGAGCTGTCCCGTTGGTGAAGTCGGAAAACAGGCATTCGCCCTTCACCCAGTCAAGCGTGGACAGCCACACCACCTCGGCCACGGCACCTCCAAACCCAGCCACTACTGTGCACGGGAACAAATATCCACACTAAACACTATGTCTATCCTTGATTATGCCAACATCTCAAGTGAGAGAAAGTGTCCTGCAGTGTTGCTGGATCTTTTAAAGGAAGTGCCATGGGCGGCATGCACCTTCACCTTTAAGACATGAGGTTCGGTGTTCCCAAGCTGTGCGTGCTCAGGCGAAGTGAGATCGCTTCTTCATGATCAACCAAACAAATAAGCCTATCGGACATCTAAGTGGCCAACCACCGCAGCAAGCACAAATATGGCCTGAGCAACTTGATACAACCATCCGTTTGTGTAAAAATCGTATCAAGCCCATTGGTTGACCCATTGGCTTGCAGATCTTGAAGACGTTTCAACATGTTTCAACAACTTCTGGACCCTTATGGAATCTGCCAAACAGCCCTGACGGCCCTGAGTCCTGGACCATGATGGCCAGCAGAAGCTCGACGGCCTCTTTGAGGAGCCGACGAGTTAGGACGAGGCACGCCACAGCCCGCGAAGCACGCCACAGCCCGTCACTACGTCATGGTTGGTGTTGAAGCCGAACAAGTCATGTTTCTCTTACAAGTCATGTTGCGTTCTATTCAAGAACCTTCTGTCTGTGACCTGACATGTTTCACATGCACTCTGCAACTTTGATCAACTTTGTAAAGACCAAGTCATGTGTTCTAGATTGTTCTAGAAGGTTCAGTCCCTGTCGATGACCGACACCACCCTATTTGTCAAGAGCCAACTGCATTGTAATTTAGTAGAGGCAGTCGCTAGGGGTTGGTTGGTGCCTTGACGTCAATTGGCACGGATTGCAGCAAAGATCGGCAAAGTAGCTTGGTCATTGGACACATCATGAACCTTCCGTTAGAGGCCATTGCTTATAGGCTGGAGGCCATCGCCATTAGGTTGGAGGATCATTCACGAGAGTCCACGAGGCGCCCTCTCCAGCTGAGGCGTCCAACGAGGCACCAGGCTTTGAAAAGGAAACCATTGGATATGTTCAACTCAGCAAAGGCTTGGCTCTTGTCTTCGCTCGCCGCATTAACGGACTAGTTTCCATTTGTGAGAGCTTGACCTGGTGGATTTGGTCTCTTATGATCTCTCTGTTGCAGGTTTGGCACCAGCTCAGTTGTGCTAACTCAGTTACTGTGACACGTGCCTGATTTGTCAAAACAGTCACTGCGACACTTCCTTTTCCCGTGACGATAGAGCGCTTCCATCTCAGCTTGACACGAGCTCGTCCCCGCATGCCTACCGCTTGACACGAACGCCACACAGTGCGATCCGGGCAAACAACGGGCAATTGGGCAAGGCTTCAGCGAAGTCAGCCGCATTTGGTCAAAAGGGACTTCAATTCCAAGGGACCTTCAAGTCTTTGCCTCCGACTGACAGGCCCTCTGCGACTTCGAGCTTTCTTGCATCCCTACTAAGACAGGATCTTGTGGTGCTAAGAATCCGTAGTTTTCTAGTCTTGTGGAAGAATACTGGCTTCGTGCTCCTCGTAGAGTGCTGCAATGTTCTTGGCAACATCCTCAGCTGCTCCATGGTTCCTGACAAAGGATCTCGACTACTCACTTTCATCTTAATTTCACGGCCTCCAAGCACAACTTCAGTTGGGGAAGTGGTCTCTTCAAAGTGCACGAATCTAGAATTTCAAACTGCCGCACGAACCCGAAACAAGTCTGGAGCCATGAGAATTTCCGTCCTCACTGGAATCGTGGAAGCCACAAGTGGATTGGGTATGCAAGCTTCTTGACCTGTGCACCTAATTAATCTCCCAATGATAGTGATTCAGTGGATGCATCCTTGACCCTGGACATCCTTCGCCCCCAAGGGCTTTTTTGGTCGTTGCCTTTCAGACCCGAAGCTTGCGGAATCACCAAGAAAGCAACCAAACAATTGGCGACCACCCTATCAACAAAAGCATGACCTGGGCTTGATCCACACAGGATTTGCCAGGGTTATGGCTGGATTATGAGGCCTTCCACCGTTGGGAAAGCATGACCTGACCATCGTGCGCACCTGATCCAACACCAAAACATGACCTGAACCCACCGTCAAGAAAGATCCCAAAGCTTGCGCTTCCCTTCAAAGAATTGCCTGAAGAAGCTCTCGGGTTCCTCTACACGCAAAAGGGCCTCAGGTCATTCAGGTGATGACCATCTACTGAGATCTATCGAAGCGAAGGAAGGCGACTTCTTTTGGAAAGAACAAGCAAAAAGGGTTGGGACATGCTTGGACATGTCTGTTGACGTGTTTAACCGCTTGGACACTGGACAGCCTCGAACTTCCAATTGTCCATCTGTCAGCCAAGAGGCTTGAATTATCATGATATCCTGCGCGGTTTCATCCAACCCAAGCCTCAAATCAATCATTCCCTGCTGCATGCAGTGAGGACATGCAGGATCTTTCACGCCTCACAAATCTCTACAAGTAAGGCCTCTGGACTTTCACTTTGTGTGTTCATGAATGAATCAGGCAGCACCTCTGGTCTGGTCAGGCGTACAGAACAAGTACCGAGAAGAAAAGGCTATATACCGCAGCCTCTGTTCCTGCTCAAGGGATGCGATGTCTGCATTAAGTCACCGGACGCCAGTAAGCAGGACCGGTTGCCTCTCAGCACCTTGAAATTCAGACGGCTTCGAGTTGAACTCGGCCACAGGCTGATCTTCTGGCTCCATCAGCGAAGGGCCAATTGCAGCAAACAAGCTAAGCTCTCACAGAATTCTCCATATAGATCATATAGGAATTATTCAGCGCAAAAAAAGGGTTTCGGTGGATGGACACAAGGACGACGACCACGTCGTCCAGTCCCTTCGGGCTCGGACGTCCATGAGCTCTGCCTGCGGCCCTCAGCGCGATCGAAAGGGATCCAACTCATCGGGTCTTTCTCCGTCCGTCCCAGGCTCGCTGGGCCTCCCAACGTTTCTTCCTCTTTGGCGGAGCAGGAGGTTTGTGGCGGTCCTCACAGCAAGCATCAGCAAGCCATAAGCTTGATGTGATTTCTTGGCCCGCTGGCTTGGCTCGTTAGCTTTCTGGTTTATAAATGTTTGTAGCCTGAGACATCCTGAGACTGGCAAGCATTGGGCTTCCTTCTAAAAGTTGTCCATTTCCTCATTTCCTGAAGGAGTTGAGCCTTTTGCCCCGTTTGATGAGACAACGGCACCGCACAGGAGTTGTATGTCAACTTTGGGTAGCCAGCAGGTTCATTCTGATCTTTCACCCGTCTTCTTCACAGGGGGTTCTCACATACTACTGTATGATTCATACAACCAATATCTGAAATCAAACACCAAGCTTTGATACAAACAGGGCAATTCTTCCTTTTGGGTCACAAAGACCCTGACAGGCAACGGTTTGACCCTGTTCCACCCAATGCCAGCATCCTCGCCTTCTTGAAGCCCACCTCCACTGTAGCATTGACTGGCGCCTCACTTGGTCTCAGAGGCCGGGGATGTCCGGTGCCCAGGGCAACGGGGTCACAAGCATCAAGCATCATCAAGCGACTGTCTTCCACACCTGCGGTGCAGATGATGCAGAAGCCCTGACAGCCCTAGTCAAAGAGACCAAAGACTGTGACGGAGCCACTGCGGCTTCATCCTGTGCAGCCAAATCTGAGACTCCGAGAGGAATGCTCTGCAAGGCAAATGTCGGATAGATTTCTCTCATTATCTCTTCCTATTAACTTGCACGGATGACGACTCCTGAATGTCTTACAGCAGTTTCTAGCTTGAGCTGATTAGGTCGGTAAGGTTTCATGAGTGGAGTAAACTCTAAAAATAAAACACTCTGGAACTCACTGTCAAGCTCACGCTCTGTTTGGAATCCACTCCGCAGTCAGCAAGCGATGGTTAAGTGACCTTCCGAACCGCCAACAGCTTGCGCTGGTGCTGGCCGTCACTTAACAGCTGCTGTCAAGGCGGAATCCTTTGAGGATCTGCCTATTCACATCGTTGAACCCATTTCAGGTTCGGCCTGCTCAGGACTCCTCTTAGTTCCGACAATGAAACTCTTTGAAGGTTCTCCCTTGCAGGCAGGAAAAGGGATGGCGGTGTGGGGCACCCACACTTGCGCGGGAATGAATTCTGAAAGGCTCGGTCAACGTCTCTTTCTTTCGGTGGACCAACCACGTGAAGTAGACGACATGCTACTGACTTTGGCATGTCCCTCTTGGGCAATTGCAGCTTTGCTTGCTGCAAGCAAGATTTGGCATTTCGGCACCGCTTCAAGCAAGAAATGTTGAACTTTTATGAACTGTTCACAATCTCTCATGTCAGTTGCGTTTGCGAATACACGTGGATGCGCGACTATCAAACAGTTCCTGTGTGCCACTTCGTGCTTTGTTACGCAAAAAAAAGCTCTGTCTTAAAAAACTTTTGAACCTGTACCCAGCACTTCAACTGTCAGCGGTACTCGGCGCCATGCTGCTCACTAGGCTGCCAGTGAATGCGCTCACACGACTCCCCTGAGCCGAGTGGCCCCGGTACGCGGCCATCGTCCACGGTGCATGCGAAGACAGCTCAGCGAAAGTGCGCTTTGGGTCCATACATGTTCATTAAATATATACATAAACATACACAAACATCTTGCAGACAGTTTATTGATGCATGGATTTACAGCCTGACATATTGGTGATCACTTTCTGTCAACTTCCTGAACAACGTGGGCATTCAAGCGACGGAAGGAAGCATGTCAAGAAAATAATTTCAAGGCGCTTTAAAAAAATAAAGACAACAATTGGTGCTTGGATGGTTGACATGGATGCAGCAAACATTGAGACGAGGTTTCCAAAGACGCAGTATTGACCATTCCTGACTACCCGAGGCCGCCGCTGGTTCTTGCCCTGGATCTGCCGATCCTCTTGAGTCGACCTCAAGGGCTTGCTGCGAATGATTTTTGGTGACGTTCTGATGAGACCTGAAGCTGTTCATCCACATTTCACCAACTGAATCAAGATCCAGTATGGCCCAGTGGTCCAAAACTACTGGGATCAAAATCTGTGCGATCAATGCCATTATGATTGATTCATGATCCACTAACTCTGCATACTGACGCTGTAGCGAACACCCATGGTATCCCACACACACAAATAAACAGCTGTATGCGGTCGTATTGGTGGTCCATTCTGGGCGTCGGGCTGAAGCCTCCAAGGTCCTTTATTGAGGCCAAGTGCGGTGACAAGACTCTGTCTCGACAAAGAGGAACCGATTGCAACCACATCGATATGCAAGTCTTCAAGTGATTTGAAACCCTTTGTGCAAAAGATAAGAATCATTGACGTAGTCGTTCAACAAAGCAACATGCCGTTCTTACCTACTGCCGCATGTGAGACTTACAATGGTGGTCAAGCTATGTCAAACTTGTCATAAATTCATACACCAATGTTATGCCATATGGAAACGCCAAGCAACGTCTGATATGATACTTATACTTCACATCAGAACTCACAGTAACCAAGGTAACACACCTGTCAGGTTCATCCGATAAATTTCTCATGCAACACGCAGGTTCAGGTGACAAACATGCACTGTAAGTTTGACACCCTGTGAGGAACTGCCAAAAATCATAATCATTTAACTTTTCAGGAGCATGCGCAGGTTTGGAGGCTCCCAGTACAGTTGAGACGTACAGGTCAGCAACCTTCCAGGAATTGGAAGAGTAGAATTGGAAGAGTATTTGTTTTCGAAAAAACACCAAAACACTGATTTAACTGAAGTACAAAAATAAGAATCCGGGGTGGCCCAGGCTTTAAAACTACTATAACTTTTGCATAATGTTGCGGGTTGCAGTTCCATTACATGTTTACATGATTTTACACGTAACTTTTCGCTGACACCACATATCATCCCGCTCACCCTTGACACGCCCCATGACCGTAATTACTCGCATCTGTCTGTTTCCGGCTTCCAACGCGCGCGGAGCCACGCGGACATACTTCCCAGCGAGGCCTCGTCAAACTGCAGCGACACAGCGACACCGGCAATTGACATTTGGCCACAGAGCTGCTAGAAGTGGTAGTGTAGCACGCGCTTGCCACCCACATGGTGCGAACAGGCGATCTCACGGCCACTTTGCATCACCCGAGGGCAAAGCGGCAAAGGATGACCGACCGACTGAACAGCTTTGACTGCGCTCCAGAAATTCGCTTGCCAAACAGTGCCTGTCAACGAGTCCATGACGCCAGCATTTGAGCTCCTTGCCGTCTTTTCAAGCTCTGACACCGTACACACAACAGTTGCACGGGCAATGCAAAATCCCCAGCCCGCAAGGTGCCAACACGCAAGCTGAGAAGCTAGCAAGCGACCTCGCTAGCTGGTGGACGGGCCAGTGAAAGAGCATGACGTAGAGGCTTGGACTGGGATGCAAGCTATCATCTCCAACTGAACTCGAGAAAGCAGTTCAGCGTACACAATAAGTGTGCTGCCACGAGAACTCAAAAAAGCGCCGCTCAATTCTCAGCAGGAACGATCGACAAGATCACAAACGATCGACAACCACTCGCGCCAGGAATTGAAACTTCCGCATACTTCTGCGTTTGTCAGTCCGCCGCGCCCCCCCCCCGCCACCCCCAGAAAAATCTGAAGCTGTTTAATTTGTCAATGGGGACATAACAAGCTCTGTATATGCACATGGAGTATGGTACTTCAACATATTCAACATGTTAAAGTATAGACATGAGTATGTCCCATACTGTATGTACTGAGCAAAGGTAGAAGTAGCAATGTCGTAGGTCTTCATATATCACAAATGTACTACGCAAATTTAGAACTTGCACATGTAGAAATAGCAGGTCTTCAACTAGCACGTCTTTTCAACACAAGAACCCTTCGCAGTGCTCATGGGCAAAAACACGACAGATGTGAATATGTTTACATAAAATTACGAAAAACACACACGAAAACTATACATAAACATTATGAAGTAAGTTTCAATTTGACTTTTTGGCCAGGGCAGGTGCATGACAAATGACCACCCCCCCGTGAAGTAGTCCATAAGAGTCTGAACGCTGGGTGTTCATGTTGTGAGCTTCTGCGTGTGTACACTGGATTTGGATTTGGATGGTTGCCTTTCATTTGGGCTGAGTTCATTTATCTTGATTTGGCATGCGGCATGTTGGATTTGTATTACCACAGCCGAGCTCGGATGCTTTAGACAAGTTGTAGAACAAGTTGTAGCTTGGATGACTTATTGACAGCCCCCTTCTCTGAGGCTTCGTACAGCTTCATCTGCTTCTGAAAGAGCTCGAACAGCCTTCGGCATCTGGCAGCCTTCGAGATGCAATGAGGGACAGAAACACACCCAGAATTTCATCACAACCCATCACATGATCGATTTTTTCCATGGAAATCCACGTGAATCCGCAGAGTTTCCTAGTCCTAGTCAATCTTCTTATGTAAACTTCCGAATGTACCATGCCATTCCTCTGGTGTCCTCTTTACCTTCCACTTCCGCACTTCTCCTTTGGGAATGAACGCTTGTGGGATTGCCCAATCTTTCCTTTGCTCCTCCCAAAGAGCACTGTTTTGCTCTCTCTTCCAGATCTTCCAGCCTCCGAGATGTCTTGCTCCTCTTCCATCGGAAAGGGGTGCTTCGGATCTCCTCCCAAGCGCCGAATGGAATCCACCTCAGCCCGTTCGGATCAGCGCGCTGCGCGATCCGCGCGATCCGCCATCGTGCCAAGTCGCATGGGTGGGATGCAGATTGGCAGGCTCCAGGATCTGACACCGGCCGAAACACCGGGCAAGAACGGTGACCGTTCTCCGAATGTCGGTTCTTCGGTTGTTGAATGGGTTGACTGATGGGTTCTTAGTTGTGTACAGTTTGATGGTTTGAATCCCACGGTGCGAGGCAACATCCAGACGGTGAAACATTAAACAACTATGGCCCATGGCCGGCATAGATGTCGAGCATGGTCAAAGTGTCGAACCACGGTCCTTGGGAGTCAAGTGTCACCCCTCGGCTGCCTGGATGCCACCAGCGATGCCCTGGTCACCCTCGCTGAAGTCCAAGGGCTCGTCGAAGCACATTCTCCTTGACATGTGAATTCAACTAGGACATTGCCTCACCGGAGTACTAGGTACTACTAGAATTAGTGCATTCATGTGCATTCTAGTACTAGCAATAGTAATACTCGTAACTATAGATGTAAATAGTACTCACAAATCACGACACACACACACACAACTCTGCCAAACATCCGAAGAATGCATGCCGTGCAGAATGGCGGGTAATTCACATCGAAATATCTTTGACTAATGTGAATGGCAGTTCACGCTCCCAACAGAGCGCATGCTGCGAAGTCCAAAAACATATTTTGCTGAGGCCAAATGAGCTCGCACCACATGCCATGCAGCCGAGCAGCTCAATAAAGAGCTGGAACCGTGAAGGATGAATGCTGAGCATGGCCTGAGGACAGGGAACTCGGCGACACTCGGCAACTGTGCACACCGTGCAGCTGTTCTGCCATGTACACACTCTTGACAATGTGGTTTCGAGGCTCTGTCTTCTTCACTGAAAGCCTTCATTTTGCTAACTGAAGCTGACTTATCATGACGCCTTGCCTGGCACATCTTCCACATTCGGCCTCAAGGTGCCGATTC